CTGGATTATTTCTATATATATATAATGTAATTTTTTATTTATATAAAGTACATATTGCTGCTAATGTACATTTACTTCAGTCAATTTTTAATAGAAGAGCTGAAATGTATTTTAATATTGTGGTAGTACCTCTCTTACTCAGCTGAAGGAAATAAATACTTCTTCTACCACCTATCTGTACTTTGTTCTTACCTCCATCTTTGTTTCTCTTTGCATGCTCAGTGTTTCTCTGTAGCCTTTTCATGACTCCTTGTCAGGTTTGAGTGAGTAATTAACTCATTGAAATGCTTGCTAATTGATGTGTTTCGTTAATTACAGTCATTTATGTGGCGTTTACTAACATGGCCAGCAGTAGCTTTAGTACATCACTGAACAGAAATGTCAGCAAGTACTTAACCGAGGCCTGGCCTTTGCTCAGTGTGTGTGTGTGTGTGTGTGTGTGTGTGTGTGTGTGTGTGTGTGTGTGTGTGTGTGTGTGAGAGAGAGTTGCCCCTGATGTCCGTGTTAAGAGTATCAGCACGTATATGCCTCATTCTCCATGTTTCTCATCTGGAAAATCATCCCATGTCCTTCCTTCACCTTTCCCATATCTGCCCCTGCAATTGCTTGATTTGTAACTTGATTTCAGGAAAGGGAAAAACCTGTAGATTATCCAGCTTTCATTAGGGGGGAAAAAACCAGTCCGTGTCAGAGAAAGAAGAAATCAATTTAATACAGACTTAACTGGAGGAAATTGCATATTCTGCCTGTATGTGCTGAACAGGCACTTTCTCTTCCTCACCAGAGACCTGCCTCCCTATTAATTGCAGTATGTGCATGTCAGTGAGTAAGTGGATGTGTATGTGCGCGTGCATTTGTTTGTTTGTGTGTGTTTGCAACGTGTAGAGCGTGCACATTCATTTGTGTGTTAGGTGCTTGAATGCATGTTTCCAGAGTCTCTTTGTCTGTGTGTGGAGGTCAATTCTCAGACCCGTGGTAGGGCACCCAGCCAGATGTGTCTGTTTCTTTATTTGCGGCATGCATGTGCGTTTACCGCACATGGTGTGTATCCATATTTCTTTGTTGGTGTATGGTACGTGCATAAGCACAAGCACATGTGACTTAGCCAGGTGGAGAAGAAATTGGTTGGTATTTATGAACAAACGTCATAATTGTGACAGGATGATATATGACCCGCACACAGTTTCCCCCCCTCCTTCCTTTTCTCTTTTTCTTTTCGCTAAAAATATATATCTATGATAAAATACAGTCTTAAAAGCTGATGATCAATTTAGTGTGGCGTGTTGCGGACAAGGTCGTGGAGATCTGAGTTCCTCTGTGTTCCTCCCTCCGAGGCCTGTTCTAATCTACAGAGCAAGAAGAGGGGGTCAAAGTCATTTCTCTAATTGCTTTTATAAGGTGCCCTTTTCACATGGTGTCTTCCCTGCTCATTCACTTTCACCGACATTACAACACTTTACCTCCACACCTGCTGGTTAAAATATGGCCATGTAATATTGCTGCTGCTCTATACTGATATCAGACAAACTACAGAAGACTTTCCCTGCTCGCTCTTTTTACTATCCATCTACATGCCTGAGGTGTTAACCGGGGTCTGCAGGGTAAGTGTTTTGTATATATGGGGGTACTTCTGATTTCTTAAGTGTTGTCCCTGCATTGGTGATCTATAAGGGGAGCTGAGGTGGTGAAGGAGTGGCATAAGGTGAGTGAAGATGGAAACGGGGGTTAAATGTGAGAGGGAAGGCTGGGAAGGATAAGGGGAGAGGGGGATGAGATTGAGCCTAGTGCATTAAGACAGTGTATTATTTGGCGGTTCCACTTGCTTGCGTCCATTAGGGGTGGCTGCTATGCTATTAAAGGGGTCAGCGAAGTGTGTGTGTGTGTGTGTGTGTGTGAGTGTGCCTACATGTGTGTGTTTTAAGAGTGAGTAGAGTGGTCCAGTGTCGTATTGAACAGGATGGGGCTCCCCTGCTCTAATACCTCTTCATTTTATTGGATTGGATGGCCCCAGTAATAATTGTATTAAGCCCCCCCCCACCCCCAACCACTATCACCCACTCTGCCTCCATCTTTCTCCACAGCAGTCCACATGTCATTGCCCCACACATGTGGAAAACGCCAGGAGAGATGAGCAGAACCTCTGCCATCTTCCTCCGCTCACACAGCCAAAGGCGCACTTGTGTTTCCCCCCTCCCTCCTTTCCATGCTCCTGGTGAAAGCTGTAAAGGTCATTGTCATGTTACAGACAGCTGTTGTCTTGGGTTTGAAGGCTGGAGGTGGGGGCCGAAGGTTAGAGGTGGCAGCAGGAGTGGATGTTGTCATCATGGTGACCTTGCTGCTTTCTGTTCTGAACATGCAGCACTTTTTGCGGGTATGCAGTTGCGGAGATGGACGCACGGTTTCTACTTTTCAAGCCGTGAAGCTTATTTACACGTGTGTTTCATTCATAATTATACTTTTGCATTTGGATGGAGCGATCGGTTGTGTGCAGCTGGGGGCGGTAAGCTCTGTCACCCCAAGCCGAGTTCAGTGGTGTTGCACACTCAGCGATTACTCTAGAGTTAACCAGAGAGGCTTCGCTGCCTCTCACTTTTCCTTCGCCCTTGAAGAGACCAGGAGTTGTCAGGGTCCTCATAAAAACCCTGAACGATTGCGTCTGTGCGTTCTTCCTCTCCTTTTCTACCTTTTTTCCCCCCTCTTCTCCTTCCAAAACCTGGCCATCTGTCTAATTGTTCACCTCCATCGCTTTAATGCTTTTTACATGCTTTTTCCCCCCTCTTTCCAGGCAATAAACTTTATTTTCTTCGCAAGACTTCAATCTGCAGGGGGAGGGTGGGAGGGCAGGCGGGCGGGCAGGCTGCTCACCTTCTCCCTGCTGGATTTGCTCCAGTGGCCCCCCTTCCATCCCCCTCTGTCCTCCCCTCTGGTCTCCCATTACTCCATCTCTCCTTCCCTTTCCCCCCCTGTCTCTAGAGAAGAGGATATGTGTTCGTCAAGCTGACACCTACTCTCATCTTCTCTGCTGGTCACACACACATGGAGGGCTACCCTGTTGAGGAGGCCTTATACTGACCTTTTAATTACAACAGCCTGCTCTGACCTTGTTTGAAAGTAATGTAATGTAAACTTTTCTCATTAAATCGCTCATCTTTCTTGTACACTTATACGAATACTCGGTGACCAAACATTTCTTTTACAGCTTGCCCCTTTTCACTTTACCTGAATTTCTGTGCATGTGTACTGTGTAAAAGTGGCCAGGAGTGTGAATGGTGCACATACAAGTCGTTAAATTAGACAGTTGTCTCCTCTCACCTGTGATTACTGCTGTGGGCAGATCATATAAGCAGGTACCCTATAATCATATCTGTAATAGCCATAATCAGCCCTTTAATGCTTTGTAATAGCATCCATATAATGGTATAGAGTAGCATCAAGAGAATAGTTCAGGCATAGATAATGGTGTGATGGCGTGGTTTTACCCTTGAGTCACAACATTGAATTTGTTGTGTGTGTGGGGGGTGTGTGTGTGTGTGTGTGCCTGTGTATGCATGTATAAATATACCCTGGGGCAGTTAAGGTGTCTGTAAAATGCCTGAAGAATCACATTTCCATCAGAAGGCGCCCTTAACCCTTTCTTGTTTTCTTTGTGCTCACTGCTCCATGGAGCATCCTTGCTGTGAGTGTCATGTACACTTGGCTCTGCAGAGACAGACACAGAGGAAAGACATTCCCATATGATGGCCACAGACTGGAGATCAGATCAGTGGAAAAGGCTGACAGGGGAGCAGCAGCAGCAGCGGTGGTGGTGGTGGCGGATGGGGAGCGGAACACTGAACGCTCTTCCGGGGTGTAATGTGAGCTGACAGCGTTCCCCAGGGATGGCGGGCAGGACGAAGAGGAGAGGTAGCATCAGGAATATCTGGTGCTACTGAACCCAAAGCCCATCTGGGAGCCCTGGGAGCAATATCTCACTCATTTTCCCTTTCCAGCATGAGGGATAAGTCTAATGGACCGTCTGAATGGAACACGCTACACCTCTGTTCACACTGCATGCACCCGTACACAAAGGTCCCACGTGAGCTCATATGTTGTAGTGAGATTAAACCTGGGTTGTCTGTTGGTAGGGCCTGAACTGATAAAGATGTTGAGAATGGCAAAAAGGGGTGTTGAAGACGTGGAAAGAGTTGATGGGCTTTGTTATTAAAGAGATGTGCTTCTTTAGGCCTGCATGTGTCTCTGCTGAGGCCTTTTCCCTGCATCAGAATGCTACAGTGGGATGGTGAGGATGATGAATATTTAGCCTGTCTTCCTCAGTGTGTAAATGCAGCTATGCATTCACTTCTTAAGTCATTTATCTTTCTCTTCTCCTCTCCTATCCTCACCCTGTCTCCCAACATATGGTGTAAGATGAGACACACACACACACACACACACACACACACACACACACACACACACACACACACACACACACACACACACACACACACACACACACACACGATGAGAACATGCAGTCAAAAGCTATGGAGTTCTTTAAAAGTCTTTAGACAGGACTGTGACCATCAGCACTCTTCACATATTTCTTTTTACCAGCCTGTATGAAAGTAATAGTCAAGTCAAATAATTTTATTTATATATCCCAAAATCATAAATTAGTCAATTGACCTTAAATTGCTTTACGTTAGATCTTTTATCCTTTAGACCCTTAATTCGCAAAAAACTCCCCCAGTAAACCTTTAACTGCAAATAAACCTCAAGCAGAGCAATAGAGGAGTGACACATAGGGGTTTCTGGTGAGACCTGTTTAATTGCATTTTTAAACAGGGTGAAACTGCACACCTTTTTTTATCATTTGAACCTGGACTTTGTGATAACTCTTTTGAGGTGATGGCAGTGATGACAACAGTGGCAGTTTGCAAAAACTATAAATAATGGTGGTGACTTTGCTGTTGGTGCTGGTTATTACAATTGTACTTTTCTGTTTCCTGTGTCTACAGCACAAAGCAAGAGTAGAAGCCATGATGTGCGACCTGGCCTCTTTCCGCAGTGTCAGGGAGTTTGCTGAGTCTTTCAAGGCCAAGAAGCTGTGAGTATAAAACAAAATATACATTTTCTCTGCTGTATTTCCTATTCTCTGATATTTTCTGATGTTCTTCGGATTAGTCACCAACCTTTTGGTAGGCTAAGATCGTAGATTTAAAACCTCTAGAAATGTATGCCTCTGACATCCTCCTAGTGCAATAGGCACCATCATAACTTTCCCCACCTGTCAGTGCTGTATCTGGGGGGTCAAAGTTCATTTTAGCTGACTGAAAATCAGGCCAGTGTGCACCGCTATGATGCTTTGAAGATTGCTCTATGCAATATTGCACTTGTGTATTTGGGCTGAAGGCAGGGTTAGCCTGGTCCTTCCAATATTCTAGTTAGCTAATTTAATTTATTAAGGCTTTCTAAAGACAGGGGAGTCTTCATTGTGAAGAGATGGAGCAGAACTGGTCTTAAAATGGTTTGTGAATTAAAATGTATAGTAGCACTCCCAACTAACAAATCGTCCCATTTCAACTGCCCAAACTTTTTTCATTCTACTTACTCTGAAAGAGAGAAAGAAAAGGAAACAAAGGAATAAATAAATACATAAGTAAAAAGCAGTAAGGACTGAAAGGGCTCTCTCATTAGGGCCAATCACTGTATTCATCACTATTACAACCCGCATACACCATACGTAAAGGACATCCAACTGTTACTGATGGACACCATATGGACAAGGCCCACAGGAGTAAGTGTGTGTATTTGTGTCGATTTGCTTGACATTGGCCGAACAGATACTTATTTTGTGGTGGTCAGCTTTTCCAGCATGTGTCTTGCGTCTCGTGGTCGGTCGTACAGTTGCTATTTTGGGGTCATGTATTCTGCCATCCATACTGCTAATTCACCCGCAGGTCTCTAGGTAGGGGGGAGTGTGTATGTGTTTATGGATGTGTGTGGGTATTGGTGTCAGGGGAGCCCCTTGGGGAGAGGCAGGGCAGTCATTGCCCGTAGCAGCCCTGGGGCAGGGTATGGCCATCCAGGACACGTGTCTTGGGTCATAGCCAAAACCCTCACGGTGGCTTCCCTCACTCTGTGTCTTATAGTTCCCTCCCACCTCTTAGGCTCTTACATGAATCCCTCCCATCCACACTGAAGTACATTGACCTCCCTTTAACCCTATTGTCCCCAGAATTCCTCTCCTGCTTTTGTTTTTTTGCATAATCCCTTTTTGCAATTTGTTTATCTGCTTCGATTTCTCTCATGTTGTCTCTCAGTCTTTCTCTGTCTTTGTTGCGCTCTCTCTCTACCTCAGTATTTTGGCAAGGTTGTATTTCTTCATTAGCTGTGCTGTTGGGGGGGGGTGAAGGGGGAGTGGGGGAGTCCCAAGGGACGTCAGAGTACATTAATTCTCATCAGAAGGCGAACAGAGCAGAGTGGAGGCTGGGAGCTCTGAGCTGTGAATGGCACTGGGCAGCTGTCTGACTCTACCACCACTCTATTACTGCACGTATGTCTTCAGGCACAACACACACAGGAGCGCGCACACACAACGCGCACGTATATGTACATACATGCACGGACGCAACCACACAGTTTTGTAAACACACAGAGACAAACAGACATACTAACACACACACACACACACACACACACACAATAATGCTCCTGCAGCGTGTCATTGACAGGTGAAATGTAATCAGAGTCTTTTTCTTTTCCTTCTCTCGTTTCTCACTCCCTTGCTTTTAAGTGCTTTAGTCAGTGGCTTTCACGCTGCTTTGTGTTCCATTGACCCCGATTCTGTTTTAATTGCCTGTCCTTTGAAATGAAATTACCTGGATATTGATATTGTTGAATGCAGTGCAATTTCATAGGGATATAATTGATGGAGGACGGTGCTGACAGAATGCCCCTAATACAATTTCTACTGAACGGCCCGTAATTAACACATGCAATTTGTTTTCACCTGTGATTTTTTTTTAAACTGCATGTATGCTGTTCTAATTTCAGGCATACTATGTGTGATAGGTGGTCTGTATAGATATAGATACATACAAGCCAGATCACATTAGTCTATAATACTTCCACTCCTTTGCATTATATTGACTGTAACACTGTCAGATTGGTTTGTGTCTTTGCACACTTTACAGGTCGATGCAGAGTCTGAATATGGATCAGGATGAGTGGTGTACACATATCTATATGTGTTGAGTGTGCCAGTTTCCCTGATGCCAATAAGGTGCATTGTTAATGAGGAGTAGTCTGAGCCCAGCTCACGCAGGCAATCTCTTCCTGCTGGCCCCCATTATCATAGAGGTCAGGGGTCATACCCAGGGGGGTTATTTAAAGTAAATATATAAACTGATGTCTCCCTGTTTGGTAGTTAACACCCTCGTTTGACCAGCGCTGAGATTGCACAGTGCACACAGTGTTGTGTGAAGTCTTAATGTGAAAAGAGGGACTGTGGTACACTGCAATAGGCCTATTAAAGACATTCATTAGACCTGCGCTTATGAGAGAGGGACTAACTGGTGGGCAGTTGAATTAACAGGCCTTTTACATTACAAGCAGACTCACCAGAGGCCCATCTGAGCTGTGTGGGGGAAATCGCTCCACTTGACCAGAGAAAAGTTGTTTATTGAAGTTTTTTTGATCAGAAATTTGTGATATTGTTTGACTGACATAGTTTTTTCTTCTGTCTTTACGCTGTGAGGTCACAAAAGAGGACACATTCAAATCTTAAGAGGTGTAACTGACATAAGAGTTAATTTAAAACAACAGCTGCAGTAAAAGGGTGAAAAGTTAGGTCAAGAGTTCATGCCTGGGGTGTTATTGTGCATCCCCTAGCCAGTACATTTGTAATAGACCCAAGAGTTTTGCCTTGTATAGCACAATGTTACTGTACTTCACACTCTATTAGACAGAGGAACACTGGGCCAAAAACAACCAATGTGTTCTGTCTGCGTTTAAGCTCAGAGTGATTTCAGAGCAGAGCTTGACATCAGAGCAACTGTGGTGTTTTATCCGATTTAAATTACAAAGGGCATTTCTTTACAGATGTTTGTTTTCTACCAAGCCATTAAGTTAGACTTCCTTCCTACATTTTTTTTTTTTCTCTTCGGGTGAACATTTGAATATCTCGCTGCTAGTGTATCGTCTGTTGATAATGTGCTGAGGTCTGTGTTCTTTAAGTTGACTTGTTACTAGGTTTGTGCTCTTTAATGAACCTTGTGTGTTCGGAGGCCTGAAGGTGATCGTACAGTACACTCCTATGTAATAGCATGGGATGGCTCATTATAGCAAGGCATAACAATTCACACATTAATTTTCCAGCATCCAGTTTTTAATTAATCCAGTAGGCAGTCTTAAACACAGGGTACACAAATTGCCTTCAGCCTCATAATTAATTCTAATGGAAGAAATTAAAAATTGGTGGGGTGTGTTTGGATTGTTCGGCTGTGTTACTGTGGTTTCGAGCTCGGTGGAGCGACGCTGTCACCGACAAGGATCTCTCGGTGCCCTGACCAATCCAACAATCTACATTCACTGGCACTCGAGCAGGGAGTGTTACACACTTGCCCAAGTCTGCAAGAATGGAAATGCGTGTCTGTGTGTGCTAAAGTATATGTGTGTGTGTGTATTTTTTTTTTTAATGGCCCTTGAATAAAGTCAGTTGTTTTTTTTATATCATGACTTGTGTGTGTATTTCCTTTGATTTGCACTCCTCTGCTGAGCCTTTCCGAGGCGATGTGTTTGGTTACTCTGAGTAGTTACACAGAGCCTGTATCAACACCCATTACTTCCACCACCCTCGTGTGTTGAAACGGTTTGAGATTGCTTTTCATTGTGTTGTTACTCTTGGATTCCAGCCAGCTGTATTCGGTATCTACAGTACCTGTCGAGCCATGGGGAGTTACACTGGAAACCTCTGTATCATATCAGCATTACCAATGCTCTGTCTCTGTAGACCTCTAACGTCTTCCACTCTCTGGAATAAGACACCCTGTTTCCTTTCTCTGCCGTTGCTTCTCACTATTCCATACTTTTTTAAAATTTATTTCTGCTCCCTGTCTTGCCGTTACCTATTCTTTACCCTAATATGGTATGAAAATCCCCTTTTTATGCAGCTGTGTATTTTTTGTTTTCACTTATAATCAATAAACAATGTATTATTTTTTGCCTTCCTCCCCCCACAGGCTCCTGCATATTCTGGTGTGTAATGCAGGAGTTTGCACTCAGCCTTGGAGCTTGACGGAGGATGGCCTAGAGTCAACCTTCCAGATTTGCCATCTAGGTCACTTTCTGCTTGTCCAGTGCCTACAGGATGTGCTGCGTCGCTCGGCCCCTGCCCGTGTTGTGGTGGTATCCTCTGAGTCCCACAGGTAAAGACAATAAACCTGGCATGTATAAAAGTGGATTTTTTTTGTTATTTGTGCATTTAAATGGTCTTGATTGTTATGTTCAGCTCACGGAAATAGTGGTTTGGAACAGTAGTTTGAGATTTATTAAACTAAACTGTGACACCTACTACAGGGGTAAGGCAGTCCAATGAAAAAACTAAGCAAGCCCATGCCTGAACGGGTGAATGGTCCAGCAGTACACACGAAGCAATAAATCCACAAAAACAGAGGAAACACGGCAAGTTATCTGGCAACAAGAGACATGAAACACAGAGAGCCAAATGACCACAGAGCAATGAATACATGAAGAGTGAAAGACAGACAACTACTTAAATAAACAGGTGGGGTGAACATAATCACACAGGTGAAACCACTAAGACAATCAGTGAGAACGCAAAACATGACGGTGACACACGGGGCAGACAGAACTTCAAAGTTAAACAGGAAACACTGAAACAGAACAAAACCAAACCCATAACTGTGACATTGAGAAGTCTATAAAAATGCTTATGGGACTTAAATTGAAAGTTTTTTTGTTTCAATAAAAAACACGTCGTCCTAACAAAATCGTCCTAATTCTTTTTAAGAAGAAAAATATATATGGTAAAACAATACTTCACAGGGTACCTTATAGAGTTAATCTGTTTTTTTCCCCTCATAGTAGATCATCTTGGATGCCTTTTCTATGTTGCTGGGTTCGGAGATAGAATGATTTTTACTAATAATGATATGGCAAAACATTTATTAAGAAAACGGGTCTAGGCTAGACTGTTAGTACAAAGTATTATACCCTTAATGTTTGCAGATTGTCAAAGCCTTATGTTGCACCAGGGACGAAGAGGATTTAAGTGAAGTTATTTAAACCCTCACCACTATTATTTCCTTTTATTTGTGATACTCTGGAAACCATAGACAGACATAAACTGAACTAGGCTAGGATAAAATCACTGTTCAAGCCACCCTCAGAGGACTGTGACACCCCGTGCCCTTGAGGAAAATCTGTAATTTGTGAGTATTGCCAACATAAATACAGTTGATTTGTCTTAACCTAGTTTACCCTCCAGTCAACTGGTCAATCAACACAGTAACATTGTGCTTTTTTTATATAGCTACAGTACCACACTGTTCTGGCATCTTCAGTTTTTTAGAAAATGTAGTTTCATATTATTACTGCTATTGCCAGTGAGTTAAAACAGGTCATGACACCACCTTCTTCTAATGTACCTTCCAATATGTGGATATATAAATGTTCCACACAGGTTGCCATATTGGAAACACAGTTAAGCCATATTTAAAGTCACACTGAAAGAGTTCAAGCAGTAATATCCCAAAACTACCCTGTCTAGTTCAACAACTCCACAACTTCAGTCATGCAGTTAAAGCTGCTACATTGGCTAGTTTTCTCTACAAACTGATAGATCAGACTTAATGCATATTGTCAAACATGACAGCCTCACTCACTGAAAACTCATTTCCCTCCACACGCTGTCACTATGAATTAAACGTATCATCAACATGATGGATGGACTTCTCAGCTAAAATTTTCTTTGATCAAGTGTCTGCTCCTTTTTGTCTGACCCCCTGACTCAGCCCCTTTCTCTCGTTTCCGTCTTTCTACCATCTATTGTTTTCCAAGTCTGTCTTTTTTGCTAAGCAACTCCACTCCATGGGCTTCTGTTTTTCCTGTCGTACAGTGGACAAGCATGATGTCTTGCAGTGATCTGTGAGCCCAGTGAGTGAGTGAGTGAGTGAGTGAGTGGTGTGTGTGTGTGTGTGTGTGTGTGTGTGTGTATGACATTGATCCTGGCTTGAGTCAGTCAGACGACCAAACAGAGTGATTGATTGGAGCTCGGCAGAGTGACCTGAGACAAGGAGAACATGCGCAGAGTTATTCTAGCAGATCAAACAGCAGCACTATTACAGGGGCCCTCATATGAGTTATGTTATACAGACTGCCATGCATGAGAAGACAGGAGCAGCGGAGGGGATAGTTTGACACTCAGATTCAGTTGGGGTCACGCTGTCATTACATGCTGTAGGAAAAGTAAGTGTAACAGAGAGTAGGAACAGCTTAGTGAAAGAAAGCATGTCATGATGGGAGTATGGACAGCATGTGATTGATGCAAGACTTCTGCTACACAGTGAGAGCGGTGAGTTCACACAAGTTTTGGTGTCAGGCTGCTATTGGAGCAGGTAAAATGTGTGTGATTTATACATATTGCAGGGCCAAGAATGGTCAGGTATTCTCTTCACACTTTGCCCTACAGCTCCCTCTCTCTTTCCCAGCCTTCCCACCACATACACTCACCTTTCCTTCTCTCCTCTACAAGCAGCAGTGGCTTTAACCCCCTCAAAGAGGGCTTAGTCAGGACCAGAGAGAGTCAGTTACACACTGACACCGACTAGAGCAAGGGGAAGAAGGAGCGGAAATAGACAATATCTCATATTACATCTCCCATTCTGTCCACCTCATTCCAGACCTATATTACATCTATTGAAGTCGCTCCCTTTTTTGTTTGTGTTATTTTCAGTTTCCGCTGATTTCCCATTAATTCACTTAGCCTCCCCTCACAAGCAGTGTGCGACCCCTGACCTGGCAGCATATTGTATTCCCTAAGCCCCTTGTCCGCTGGTAAAGCATTGACCTTTAAGGGACTGGGGTGGGAGAGATGGACATATGGGTAATGGCTGGACACTTTATCAGTTTCCACCACAAGGGCTTACTGTGGAATTGGCCGAATACAGGTTTACTTTGCCCTAGTACTGCATCAGATCTGGTCAAACAAGGGGAGATAATATCCTTAATGAAATTACCTCGGATAGATCTGAACTGCAGCTCTGGCTCTGTACTTTTATGAACCGATAAGATATTTTCTTTAACCAAAATCTTTATATCTTATTATGCTTGTTGTTTGTGTGAATCATGTATCATCGTTGTACATTGATTGCAACGTCACTATAAAACCTCATTCAGTTGTAACTAGGCACAACTTATGTGTAGCATGTGAACAAATTTGGGGGGTGGGGGGAGGAGGATTTATCAACCTCTACTTGCTAAAGTAGTTATGAAGTTGCAGCACATGAAATGAAAAGCCTGCAGATGTTGTAATTTAGCCAAGCAAGGATGTTGCGGAAGGCGACAGTAAACAAGAGGCAGCAAGCTTGTAAAATCACAACAAGGAAACCAGGTGACATTTTGATTGGTTGTTTTCTAATGACTGGATTAATATGTAGGATGTGTTCTGCCGGTTTGGAGCCTATCTCTCTGTCTCTCTCTCTCACTCACACACACATACGAGACATAGGGAGTGTAGTTTTTGTGCCCGTGTACTGTGATGTTATTGTGTGACTGCATAATAACACAACGAGTAGTGTAATGTTTAAGGGGCCTTGTCAAACATCTGGAGTTTAACAGCTCTGTCGCAGGCAATTAAAGAACATCATGTCACGTCTTTGATTTGTATGCAGCCAGCACCACACATCTGCCAGTAGAAAGCTCACACACGGGCACACACACACTCACACTACTCTTGATCTGGAATATGTTTCAGGTTCACAGACCTGTTTGACTCATGTGGCAAGGTTGACTTGGCCCTGCTGTCCCCACCAAAGAAGGAGTACTGGTCCATGCTGGCTTACAATCGGGCCAAGCTCTGCAACATCCTCTTCAGCAATGAGCTCCACCGCCGCCTCTCACCTCACGGCGTCACCTCCAACGCCGTACATCCTGGGAACATGATGTACACCTCCATTCACCGGAGCTGGTGGCTGATGACCTTTCTCTTCACGCTGGTCAGACCTTTCACCAAGTCTATGGTAAGGGAGAAAACACATTTGAAAAAGTTCTATAAAACATTGCGCCGTCACAAACCGTTGCACGACCTGACCAATGGCCACCAAAAACACTTTTTATTGCCTACACATGTTTGTAACCATTCTGTCTGCATGGAAAGACAGACAGTGAATTCACCACACTATATTACTATCTTTTTTTTTTTCTAGTTCTGACTAGACTGATGTGTCCCTTACTCAACCTATATATTTGTCTTGGCACGTTCCTGGAAGAGAGGAGAGGAAAAGGATGGAGAGGGGTTGATCTGCTGAGTGCTGAGGGCTCAGTGAGAGAGTCTGGGTTTCACAGATAGAAAGATATTCTGCGGTTTGTTTTCCTCTTCTTCCTGTCACTGTTTATTTAACTCCGAGAAGCAGTTCCCCTATCCTTTCACAAGGGTAGGCGATATTCCAGATCCTGTGTACTGCGACTATTATGTTACAGTAAATGCACTGCACAAACTCAAGTCTCTACTCCTATGCATTCATGTACTCGAGAGTACTAAGATAATAAGCTCTCTGTCAAATATGTTTTTGCCATATACCCCATTCCCATCAGGAGAGTCTATTACTAGATATTTTCAGATGAATTATCTTAAGTTCTGAGTCATATTAGCAGGCTGACTCAAACCTTGTTTTGCAAAGACCTCTCTGAGAGCAGAGATACCGTAAAGACATCATGTCCTCACAGGCTGTGTTTGAGAGATACAAAGAGAGGAGGCCAGGTGCTCTGCCAGAGGGACCTGTGGTTTACAAGTTTAATTTTGAAGCAACAATAAAACCAGATCCCCTCAGAGAATTGAGATGACTGTGATGGTGGAGGGAGTTAGTGTGCCCCTGTGATTGTGTTGTGTGTTTGCAGCTTCCTTGTAGGGTCTCCCTTTGCAAACTGTTCCCAGGTAAGGGGCTCGGGATGTGGAATGTCATTCTCTGGTGCTGAAGGAGCTGAAGGTGACACAGCTGTAACAAGTATGTGTAGTTGGGCTCACCTCTGCACACAGCACTGGCTCTGGGAACCCTCTCCTTTTAAGGAGTTACAGAGCTGGGCATGTGTGGTGATGCTCACGGGCCTCCAGCTGAGCGGCACTGGTTTGGAGTTTTCCTCTGATTTGAGAGTGTGACCTCTATTCATTTGTGTTTTGCAGAGAGGAAGACCACACTTTTTATGCCTATGAACTGAACAGTACTTTAGAGAATCCAGCTTTCTTGGAGTCTGGGGTTGTGGTCACATTCAGTCATTGAGATAGTTGTTTTGTGGATGTACTTTAAGAAACCTCTGGAGAGGGGGTGATTGGGAGGAACAGCCTGCCTGATCTAGTAGTGCTTGTACCAGCAGTATGGCTTGCTCAAGATATTCTCAGCAGGGGAGGAGAACTGCTAGCTATAACCATAACCATATTGGGATATTGTATGTTGGTGGAAGGGCAATTGAACCCACAACACAACCTCTTTAGAGGATGCAGAGCCTTGCCCATCCTCCTGGTGGAGTGGACTCTAAGATGTGCTCCAGTTACTGGGGTGTCACATTGCTAAGCCTTCTATGAAAAGAAACGAGGGTATGGGCGATTGTCACACCTCAGATTAAGGAGGAACTTTTGCTGATTTCGTTATGGTCTTGAAACAGTGGAACAGCTCTTTACTCTTACAGGGGTATTGGTGGAGTCATTGGATTTTAGTCAACATCTTTTTTGATGGATTCAGAGGAGGCTTATGACATCTCCCTTTGGGTACCTTGTGGGGGTTACAGTAGGCATAAGGGGTGCAAATGTCATGGCCAGTTTGTGGACAGAATTTCTAGGTGCAGCCGGGGAATGGGGTGTCAATTCTTGTGATTCAGGATTTCTGTTTTTGCTTTTTGCTGGTGGCTTCATTAGACTATCAACTTGTGTATACTGTGGCAATTTGCAAAAATATTGTTAAAAAGGTCAGTTGTTGCAGCCTTAAGATTTTTGTTGATGAAGGGTTTCTCTTTTTATACAGTGTTTGCATTTGGGTAGCTTCCAGGATAACTACTGCTGTCAGTAGCATCAAATCAGATCAAAATGTATATGACGGATTACTGCTAAAGTTTGTTCTCAAGGCAATAACCTCTATAGTACAGCTCAGTGTGGCAACTCTACAATAAATAACTGCATGAAAGTGTTCACAGCACAGGAGTGTGCCTTTAAGGTGATGTTAGGTGCCTGAGGTCAATGTCCTCACACAATTTAGTTATGAACGATAAAATCCAACACAATGATTTATCTTAGTCGGTTTTGTGTCCTCTGCTTTTCAATTGATAGCAGCCCTCTACCCTTTAGGCTCCATAGCCTCCTAATATATGCTTTAGTTTGACTATTACATCTTTCCATTAGCTACTCTTCATACTTTATCAATTTAGTGTTTGCACTGAAGGGAAAATGTGATGTGTTGAAAGGCAGCGTGTTGGAGTTTTAGTGAAGCGTCATTCTGATCCATCATGTTTGACAGAGACAAGGCCTCAGGCCGTCATTCGTCTCTCCTCCTTCTGAAATAGGATGAGAGATGAGAGGAACTGCTCCTCAGCACCTTTCACAAAATGCCAAGCTGAACATTTCCTCAATTTCACTATTTCTGTCACAAAACACACTTTCCCCCCCTTCGCCTTTACTTTCTGTAATATTTTCTTAGCTCTTCTTCATCACTCCCTGTAGTGTTTCAATTGTAAAATCTGGTCCATGTTGATTTTAGCTGGACCAAAATTTGTTAAGCACGCTTTTTAATCAGATCATTTGGAATTGCATCCTAGACTGGGTGACACTTCTGTGTTTTTTGTGTGTCAAAGGGAAGGGTGATAATGTTTTGGATGTGAGCACACAGATGCAATTAGCACTGCAGTTTCTTCTCCAGAATGAGGCTATGGCTTTCCTACACGTGGTTAATTAAATGTAGTGTAGATGTTAGTAAATATTAAAGGACAAAGGTAGAGCTAGTAATTAAATTCTGGTGTGCTGACACAGCGATTAGCTAAAACTCATGTCTGATAAAGGCCACACACAGACACACAGCTTTACACACAGACACACACAGATACACAGGCACACCCTTAAGCTGAGCATTTGCTCTTATTTAAATCTGGGGTTGATAAGGTCCCTGAAAGTGTATCCTCTTTAAAATCCCACTCCTCACTCCTTCTGCCCCCACATTAAGGGCTTAATAAAACAGTGATATTATTTCAGTTATTGGTTGCAGGGATATGAAGATGGTATCGCTTTAATTGCTTGCGTACGCTTGCGGGATCCATGGAGATTGTTCTGGGATGCAAACATAAGCAGAATGTCTACTCCAAAAAACAATCACAAAGCCCCCGTGTGTGTTCTTGCGCAAATAACCAGCCTCTCATTTAAAAAAACAGGTTTGATTTATAGGAGCACAGGTGGAGTGATATACAGTTGCGCTACAGGAGGAGACACACACACACATGGACAAGCACACACATGGATTCACAATATGGAGACTATTGAAACACCTGGAGCTACATGTTGTCCTAAATCTTTAATTTCATTGTCGTAGTAAAGGCGAGGAAATGTCACGTCAGGCCATACGATCCATACTTGGTCATCCAATCATGTTCATCCTTTCCTCCCTCATTAATTGTGCTTCATGCTGTCTTATTTTATCAGTCCTTCAATTTTATCTTTTTGCTGCTGTGTTTTGCTCGTGTATTGTAAAAATATATTTTGACTTCCTCAGTTTCGCATTCTTTGTGTTGTGGATTCTACTTAAGGGAAAGAAACTTCTCTATTAGCAGGGAGCACAGCCCACTCTGCTATTGATGTACAGAGCTGATTCCATTTTGCTGAGTTGAGAAAGGCATCTATAAAGAGCCATGACATTTTAATCAGCCAAACTATCTCTCACTAACATCATGTTCCCCTCCCTGTGCCTTGATCTACTTATCAGAGATTGTGCGACCAGGCCTGTAACTCCTGTTTCTTTAATTCAGCGTGTTTAGAGTGGGAGTTTTCCCTGTGTCCTTTGGTGTGATTTGGTGTGATTATCAGCATTAAATGATCTGGCCTGCAGTGATGTGTACTGTATGTGTACGTGCCTGAATATATGTATAAATGTGTGTGTCAGTGCGTGAGACTGAGGGAGAGCAAGAGAGGCAAAAAACAGCAGTTATCACAGTTCTGTTTAATGCTCAAAATTAGATTGACACAGATCTGGGTTGATTTATTTGATCTAGGATAGGATTTTGGCATCAGACAGTACACTTTGAATCAAAACTCAGGCTGGACATGAACTTAAACAGCACTGAATGAATTTCAGTGGCTGTTGCAGTTATTAGTTGGGCTGTAACCTTTGTGAAGTTGTCACCATCCTGTCACGCTGTAACGCTTGCCTTGTGACATTTTGTTGACTGACTGATTGCTCCCTCAAGATCGGTGTACCCTCAGGCTCTGAGCAGCTGTGCTCAGCCTATACTCATCTAATCTATACCTTAGCTATACGAACGGACAGTGCTGAGCTGAATGGAGATCAGTGTGGGCAGTGGCTCCAGTACCTCATCATCCACTATAATGGACAGAAAGAGGGGAGGGAGGTGTGGACTGCGCTGGTCCAATCAGACACCTCAGTTCCCCCAGGGGCCGGTTTCATCAGCGCTCTCGCCTAGTCCCATGCTTCTTAGCGTTTTAGCGTGATTATTTTACCCAGGATCCTGCCTCGGGCACCAGACCACCTTTTTACATATGCAGAGACTGAACTTTTGACCAGGCACCAGCAGTCAGGGCTATATTAGAGAAACTGTTGTTCAGGCAGGAGTAGTGGGACCGCCAGTGCCTCCTCTGCTTAGCGTTGCCTACTGTGACCAGGAGCTTTCTCCTGCACCTTGGGGGTTAACCCTAGAGACAGGTCCTGCAACAAAGACCTCAGTATTACCATATAGCAGACGTACAGTGAGGTCGGTCCTGTATGTGAGCACAGCAGCCGCTTTTTCTTCGTGTTCTTTATCAGTTTCTCCC